GAAAGAAATAGTAACAGGATTTATTAATATGGACAATGATTTCACGAGATTCTATGGCAAGGTCACTTATTATTCACTGCATGGAGGCTCAAGATAATACACAATTATCTTGGGATACYCTCCTGTTGGGTCACGAGGTTCAGATTGGACCCCCTTGCTTTCCAGGCTCCTTCTGAGAGGAGTCTGGGTGCGGCTGGATCCAGTCCTAGTCCCAGACTTGGTCAACGGTTTATGACTAAGGGTTCTTGTGCACAGTTACAAAGTAAAGTTAAAGAGAGAGAGCACGCTATGTTCACTTACCACAAATCTGTTGTGGAAGCGGGGGATCTCTCAGCCTCGAGGAACAACCTTGAGAGGCGTCCCTGCCCAAGGGGAGATCCTGCTGTGCAGGCCGCAGCCGTGTCAGGAGAGCTCAAAGGGCTCTTGGGCTGTCCGCATATTTATAGGATAAGATGATTGACTTATAGTCATTCTTTCATTTCAGAGGCCCATTGGCTAGTGTATTAGCTTTACGGCCCCTTTGGGATGCAGCCTTCAGGAATGTTATGTTGAGTCTAAGTGGCAGAAGAAATCAGGATGGTGGCGCCTACCAGGATTAGRTAAGTYGCTGGTGGTTAGCAACTGAACAGGCTGCATGTAAGGTACAGGCCAGGYTGAGCTGGGAAAGGAGCATATCCGTCACACGGTGGCAGGGAGCCTTGAGTCTCAAGGTGTTTTGTATCATTGATGAAAGGAGAAAAAGCACAAAATGTCATCAGAGAAGGCACAGAAAAATTCTGTGACAATTTTTTTCTCCAGAAAATACTGAGAGAAAGAACTGACTTGTGCACTTGTTGCAAAACCCCACCTTCTGTAAGAATTCAAAACAAACTTACAGATCCAATCTGCTGAAGGACTTTCATGGAGTCCTGTTGGAATGGACCCTAGAAGACAAAGGGAAACAAAGAGATCTAGCACTCTACAAGGTACTCAGTGTCTTTGGGCAAAAGGAATTACAAATCTAAACAGAAGACAGGCAATAATCAAGACCAAAGCTTAGGAAATAAATAATAAGTTAAAAAAAAAAAAGAAAAAGAAGAAAAAAGAAAAAGAGGCATTTCAAGACAGCATTTCAAGATTGGTAGATTCCCACTACAAAACACCAGTCACAGAAAATAAATATTTTCTCTATGATTACTTGACCCACCTCGCACTCAAGAAAGAAAGGTTTGGGAACGCTCCATAAAATATTTTATCCACAGAGCCTGAGCTAGCAGGAAGCTAGCATGCCACAAGTGGTTTGATTCCTCTCAAATTACATTTATTTTTCTGTCTTCAAAAAAGTGTAGAAAGGAAAAACAATAGATCTGCACCACCTCTGCAGTGTCCTGGGCCTCTGAAAATTCCACCTTGGGACACCTTTGAGGGCCCTGTAGCTCTGCCTTTCCCACCACAATAGAAGGTTTAAAACAAGAAAATGAATTCGTTACAGAAACTCTGCACAGTAAATATTGTCACATTTTGTATATAAAAACAAATGTACCTTAGAATTATGATTGACATGTTTTATTCTATTACTGAACCCAGTAATTTCTATTGTCACTTATGGGAGTATCTTGTCTCCCTCTTCTCTTTCCATTTTAGGTTCTTTTGCTCGCAGTTTTGATATAGCAGGTCAGGTGACTCCAAATAAATATAATGAGGATATTCTTAATTTAATTACATTAAATAAAGATTTTGCCTCTATAAGTTAAAGCTAGAAACTATCTAAGAAAGACACTGGGAATCTGAGCACTTTGGACCTGGTCCAAATCCTTGATCTCAGTCCACTGAGGCATACGCCACTGCTCAGTTTCTGTGTATGCAGTTCATGATGTGCCAACACTTCTGCAGCTGAAACCCACTCCTGCGGTAAGTGACTCGGTCCCTCAGAAGAACCACCCTGGACTTGTGGCCTGCCTTTCTGCACRAGTTACCACTTTCCTCCACTTCGCAGCTTGCTCTCCTGATAAACCTGGAAGAGCCAAGATATCCCTYGCTCCTTGCATGGGCAGATACAAGGATCTCTTCCCATAGAGGCATTTAACAGCAAGAGCAGTTTGAAAGTGGTTAATATAATATTTCACATGCAGTTTGAAAGAGACTTCATATTGTTTGATATGGACAAAAGACACAATAAGGAGATGTTCTTGYAAATGGACACAAAAAAGAAGAAAACAAAGAGTAAATGATAAAACTGTATGAGGATATGCCCTGAGAATAGAGCAACCCTTTAGTCTCTACAATGATGTAAAATGAAACAGCATGCTTAGATTGGGAGGTTTTTGGGTTTTTGGCTTTTTTTTTTTTTAATAGGAGGAAAGAAAAATGCTGTTGCAACAACTATTTAAGCAAACTGCTGCAACATATTTAAAATTCTGTAAATGTGAATGTTCAGCTTTAATGCACACAAAGAACCAGTTGGATGCTGGCCTAATCAATTCCAAAACATTAAAGATACTATTTTTCTTTTCATCCTGAGCTACAAATTCCTTTGCATACACTCAGGGGCTCTGAGAAACAACGCTGTGGAGCCTCCCTCCTGCCCAACACGCTGCGAACGTGGTGCTAATCAGACCGAGATCTGCATCGGTTGTGAGCCTTTGTTCTCAGCACTTKCAGCTCCATTAAAATGAAAAATGACGTGAGCACGTACAGTTCCTGACACTGATAATGTTCTACAGTTATCACCCATCAAAAGAGATGCCAGGCACAACTGCGTATGAAAACTACTGAATTATTTTTAGATAAGGCAGAATGACAGCTAGGATAAATAACCCGTTATTTAYGAAGTTGTCCGACACCGTGATTTTGATTTAACAAGTTAAAACTCCATTACAGATAGACTTTTTCCCTCACAATGCATTATTCTAGTACTGTGCCAGAACAATACATTTCATACTTCAAAGGAATTACTAGCAAGAGGCTGCGTACAGTGGAAGGGAATGACTGTTTAAACAGCGTGGATCAGGTCTGCAGCATCCATGTGCTGCTGACAAAAACTACTCTGTACTTCAGTGGCTTTATCTGCTCAAGAATGGCAAGATAGAGAGAAGAATAAGTAGTACAGTTAATGTCAAAGAGAATYGCAGAGCATGGAGAATAAAAATGTAACTACAGTTGGCAAAGGAATAAAGGAAGTAAATAGAAGCTAAAAGCAAGAATGAGAAGCTTGAAAAAAAATAACACAAGTAGCACACGCCTAAAAACTACTGAAGAAACAAAAAGTAGAGTGAGGAAGGGAACAGAAGACAAACTGAGAAGAAAGGCAGCAAGCAATTTAAAAATGACTGCAGAGAAAAAGCATAGAAAGAGCAAGGTAAAAAGGAACAAGAAGGGAGAGGAGTGAGAAGGAAAAACAGGCTTGGAGACTGAGCCTGAAGGAACAAGAACTTGGATGGGCACAGAAAGCATAAGAAATATATAGATATACAAAGAATACAGAAGGCTAGTAGGTACTTCAGGGAGATAGCGAGGAAAAGAAAAAAAAGGATGAAGAGGTTACAGGTGCACGAGGACGGTCACGAGCTAGATTCAGATTTTGTTTTAGACTTCTCTGTTGCTTTCCTTTCTGTTGTTGCTTCTGGTCATAGACGTAGACTGAACCAACACGTTCTGAATGAATATGAAGTACTTCACATGGCAGCTAACAGAAGAGCTACTTCTGGCAATCAAACACAGTGATTCCTTACTCTGTAACAATGTGCCAAGATTTAAATATTTTACATGCTACAAAAGCAGACTGTTCTCTACGTATATTCAAAAGAAGAGTCAAGACAGACTACCCAGATCTCACTACTGATTGGACAAATTGGTATATTTAAATTGTAAAAGAATGGCTAATTTTAACTAAGACAATGCATATGATAGATTTCGCAACTTCTATAAAAGTTACTACTTTCATGATTATTATGTTCATAAATAATCCTCCCTTCTGAAAACACTATCCTTGCTATTTCACAGTGGCYACAACTCCCTGAAGGAAACCTGTAGTGGGGCCAAAATAAGTTTTATCTGCTGAGCTAATATCATACATGATCACATATATGGCAACTTGATCAGGCGGATTGCAAAGCATGGAAACTCACCCATTCCTGTTTTGGTAGGCTAGCCTTGGAAGGCATCACCCCAAGGCAGGAGAGGGCAAGAGATCCAGGTTCATGGAAGAACTCCAATCTCCGCTGCAGCAGCATTAGCACTGCTCTCTGTTCGTGGGCCATATAACCAACTTCAGTGACTAAAAGCACATTTTGTTAAGATTCTCTCCATCCTGACTGTTTACTGATGAACACATCATAAAGTGGACTTAAAGTTAATGCTTTGTTTGTGAAACATTCTGAGGATCTGCCTACCAGGCTGATTTGTGGTATTTAGTAATCAAGTCAACATTAATTAATACTTTGTATGCAAGCTRCCCTTGAAGGGAGACTATTTATGCATTGTTTTTCATCTCTGCAAGTGATGAGTTATACAAAACCAAAAATGTAATCACAAAATGGRAGAAGGTTAAAGAATCTACATTCTTCCTTTGCAATCCACAACCACAAAGAAGTTTCTAGTTACATTTAAAGATAATAGGAATTTTATCTACGAGATTTTTCCATTTGTTTTCAGCCTCTTGAATTTCTTTTACCTTAGGTGTCGAACTTCTCTCAGTGAAAGCCACTGCCCCAATATTCCTCATGGTTTCGCAGCGCATTAGGAACRTTCATACCCTTTGAAGCTACTTCCCAAGGAAACCCACCAGATGTGTGGCACGCCAGCGGTGTGGGAAGCCACAGGACAGAGCGCAGTGCCACATGGCGCCCACCACGCAGTTGGGGAGCTCCCTCCGGCTGTTCCCTCACTCGGGGGCTCCCCACGAGCACCTGGGAGCAGTGGGAGAGCTGCACAAGCACCTGGGAGCAGTGGGAGGGCTGCACGGTGGCCTCCCGAGCTGGACCCGGGTGGTTGCTGGGTTCAGCCTCCCAAGCCGGGCCCCGCAGTCGCTGCCCTTCATCGGGGCAGCCACAGCAGAACCCGCTGCCACACGCAGGCCGCAGGCGCCGTGCAGCCGGCACGGCCATGGGCAGCAGGAGCCTTCCCCGCTCGGCCGGTTGTCTATTGGCATGTTGTTCTACTCRGAATCCTTCAAAAGAACAGTTTTGTTTGGAAAAAAAACCTCTGTGGGATTTGGGGAATTAAGGAYGCTATATAAACGCATGATTGGACTAAATGGTTCTTTTAAACCACATGCAGACTTTGGTCTGATCCCACTCAAGTCAATGGGATTTTGCTCCTCTTTGATGGGGGCAGAATGAGGCTCACAGTGAGCAGAGGAAAATCTGATCTTACAATGTTTAACAGTTATTTTAAATTCAAAGAACTAGTTTAACTACAAGGAAGTCTATGCACATCACACTCTGAAACACCGCACTCCTACCAATCTGCCTTTAGGCTGCCTGTCCYAGGGCTAAGGGTAAGGTAGCCCTTTCAATAAGGAAGGACGTTCATTTGGCTAGCACAGAAAGGTGAGGTTTCTGCGTCACCCTCAAGGAATATGGTAGGTCTTTGGAAAGGTGTGTGGGTTCAGCTCAAGAACAGTATCAGACACCCAACTCCTTAGGGATCCAACTTGTGTTCATGGATATGGCTGTGTCAAGACTTGGTCCTTCCAGGCCTTCAACACAAGTGCCATGAAATGAAATACTTAGGACAGTGTTTGAATATATTAGCTTAAACTTTACCCCTAGTACCATGTATTCCCCTGAATAAGAAAGAACATGGTTTCCTGAATCAGAAACAATTTTCCCCATCCGCCCTGACCCCTCATTTTTTATTAAGGTTGGGAGGTGTTGAGGGAAGGAGCTCTTACCTCACCATTTCTGCCACAAATGAAGCTGTGATGCAAGGTGCATGTTCTCTTTGTGGAGATGGTTCTGAATTATAATCAGACCAAGTCTCCTTATCCATGGAAGGAGTGAAGAAGTCCTGTGGAAGGGGAAATTACTAAAAAAAGCCCAATAGCTATTTTACAACAGTTTCTACAGCTAGCACTGCTGTAGATTTAACATATACCTAGCAAGAGACACACAGCTCCGAGCTATCTGAAGTAATGCACATAAGCAAGTAGARTTAGATAAGAAATTATACATGCAATTTAGGGCCTTGTTTTAGAATTTCAACCTCATGAATATAAGGTGTCATACTCGTGCTTTAGACCACATTCAGGTTATCAGTTACTCTTTAAAGGCAGCCAGCCAGAACAGAGGAAATATGATTGAATGTTTTATATCATATTATGATTTTATTTTAGGAGATAATTTAAATGAATAATGAAGGGTCTCCGACCCAGGGATGAAATACACTAAAATGAGGTCGTTGTCCACAGAATTGAATTTAATCCAGTAATTCATTTGTGGCTATTAAAAGGCCTAGTAAAATTAAAAATCTGTGTTTCAAAATAAATTCTGACTTTCCAGAACAAGATTCTCAAAACAGAAATTCTTGGAATGATGAAAACAAGTTTCATTTAATTCTTAAATGCAAAGGAAATTAATTCTCCTGAAATTAAAAATTTGTATTAAAAATATTTTAAATTGTACAACTTTTGAAATTGTTTTTACTTCGTGTTTTACACCATTAACATTTCTGTCAACCATTTGTGCTTTCTTAGAATATTTTAAGAATCATTTTCCATTGGAAAATTATTACAATTAAATATCTTTCTCAATCCAATCTTTCATTGATTGGAACAAGTTTGCATGGAACAAGAACAATATCGAGGAGAAAACCCTTCCAATAATTAAAACTCATATTTTGGATTTAATACATATCTTATATACTGAAAATAGCCTCGTGCTACATTCACAGTGCCAACTAAAGATGAATAATTATCAGTTTCAGATACTGATCTATACAGTTTCACTATTCATTTCCTCTCAATCATGAATTCATACATTTCCTCAGTAAAAATTACTGCTGTAGTACAACGAAAAAAGCTTGATATAAATAAAGATGTACCTTGCATTTAGAGTAGGCTCCATCTGGCTGGTCAAGAAAAAATGTAAAATTAAAATAAGACAGTAGCTCATTTTAAAGTAATGCACTATTACTTTTACATTCAAGACTCTAAATTCTGTCCACCTTCAGAAAGCAAGAAAATATCCTGCCATAGATGCAGCAAAATAACTTGTTAGCACTAACATAGTCCCTCGCTTCTATAATATATTCATGTAAAATTTATGTTTCTCTCTTGCTTAACAGTTCTGGTAAATCCTTCTGCTCATATATTTTTCAAAGAAAATCATACAGGATGRCTCAAGGCTAGCGTAGATACTGAGAGGACACATTCTTTGAATTAATACTTACAGACAATTTAGATTAAATTTTGTTCATCTTATGTCAAATGAACCTGTAGTAGCAGTCTGTACTGAGGGCTGACATACAGCAAACATTCCATCTGCTATTTAAAGAGGCTAACAGCCAGAAAAATTAACTTATCAAAATGGAATATTTGGAAAATAAATAAAGAAGAAATACTTCATCATTGTTTTATATCTTCAGTATGACAGTTATCAAAACACAATATTAAAAGTCAATATTAACATTTTCTATGATGTTTTTACCATAGTCATATTAGAACACACAAACAATTTCCCAGCCCTTGTCCTGAAGAACATGGAGCCTTTTTAGGCCCCAGAGAGATATYAGACAGATACTTTCAGAGTTTTTTAGAGAAAAAACATATGATTTCATAGTACCCATAGAAACTTTTCAAAAAGTATAAAAGATGTCCTTTTTTAAAAAAAGGAAAAACCCTACAGTTGACCACATTTTTCTTTCAGCTTTATCTGCAATGCTGTTATGATTGTAAAGCTCTTACAAGAGTTTTTCTACATTTCATACAGAGAAACGAAATGCTGCTCACTGCTCTACCATGCAGAGCTTGGTAGGTATGGGAGCCAAGAGGCACCTCCAGTTGGTACGTCAGTTCCCCAGAACCTGACTTGAGTAATATCCTAAAAAAATAGGCTTGAATTAATGAGATTCACTCCATCTAATCATAATATATATTTTCCATGTGATTAAYACATATTGCCACTGGAGGTCATTCATGCTTTAGTTTCATTGCACACATAATTAACGATAATTAAATATGATCTTAAAAGACCCTCTCCTTAGGTACACTTACTGAAAAAACATTAATAAATCCAACCTCATGAGAAAAATAAGTTAAACAAGTATCTATGCCTATTTTAACAATAGCAGCCATAAATTACAACCTAAGAAGCATCACATTCAACATCCAAATACTCCTAATAATAAGTCACCTACTAATAAAGAATAAGAAGACTTGTCCTATGATTTATTGCCTATTTGCAATATTTCCTATTTTTCAGGAGTGCCAAAATGATTTTCTTCTCTAGATAGTTTTTATTTCTAAGAAAAKGCATTTGAATTTTCTTTCCTTCTCAACTAAGCTAAAATTACCYAAGTCTTTAACCCTAAAATACTGAATGACTAAACAAAAATTCCAGAAATAAACAGTAAATTCACCATGACAGCTAAACAAGGACTAACCACATCAATGCTCAGAAGCAGTAACAGATATATATATATTATATTACTAAATCTCCTCATTTCAGARAGAATATTTAATGCTGAACTCAGTGCTTTACTTACCCTGTGTGAAAATATGAGAAGAAAAATGAAGTTGCTGTGTTATTAATGTTTTAAAACTAAACTCTCCTATATAAAGAGTGTAACAGTTCCATGATTTATTTCAATGTGTATGGCAAGCTCTATCCATATTAACATGATATCTCTTCCCTCTCACGTCTCCTCAGGAGTAACTGCAATGGATCATTGTGTCAGGGAGCTCCATTATGGATGATTTTTGCACCAGCATTTCAGTCCATTCAGAAGTGTCAGAGCAGTTTGAAAGGTGCCTAGGTGAGCAAATCATTTCCTCAAATATCACAGAGAGAGGCATAAGAAAACAGAAAATACTCCTTTTGGAGTCCAACATACTTTTTTTTTTCCCTCCCTTCTCCATTAGGCTTATTTTCATTGCAACAATATATTAAAATATTCAAAAGTAGAGGCCTTGTTACATCACATACATGTGAAAGGTAACTGAACCACATTTTTCAACATATGCTATTTGGCACAAAATATTTTAGACATCTCATATATGCAAATGGAGTGTAATAATATGACTGGCACCAAAATAATGTAACAAAGCATCTGTTGTTAATAAGCTACATGAATTGGGTTACAGTTAAAGTAAAGCAAAGTTAAGCCACTGAACCAGAGGCAACTGCTCACATTGATATAGGTAGCTTTATATGCCATTACTAACCTATAATGGCATAACCTTCATATGAGTATTTAAGCATTAAAAAAAACCCACACACATACGCACACATAGTTCAAGCAGTTCTATACAGTCCTATGAGCTATGAACAATATCAAACAAAACAAAGACACATAAACTTGGAAGTGACATGAAATTTATGGAATAAGAATTTCTTCCAAATTAGTTAGAGAGAAATTGGCTGCAGAAATTTGCAAATTAATGCTATCCTTTTCCATTTAAGATTATTCTCCAGTCAACATCATTGTTGACAAAATGTCATCACAAAAGGAGCATAATACTAGAAAATACTCCTTACAAGACRCAACAATTAACATAAAACCAGCCTGCCTAAACTTTATTTCCCTCTCTAGTTCCTAGACTCCGCTAGCATAATAATATTTACGTTAAAAATAATTTTTTAAGAAAACATCATTTAAATTTGTTCATTCTCTAAATTGATGAAATGAGATTCCCATGGATAACTTGCAAGAGTTGGGAACAACTTTTGCTTTGTTGACTTTGGAATACTAACCTACATACAAGCCCTGGCTCCCACTAGATTATATCTTTTAAGAACCCATCACATAATAGAGCTGCTGAGTAAGGAAGCAGAAATCAGGGCAGMCCGCTCTGAATCTCACAAGGATCATCCTGCAGTGGCTTCATTGCTGACGTGCACATTTCACCAGCTTCCCCCTCATTTCATTTAGTAACCTATAAAAAGTTCAAGTGTCAGAGCTTTATTACACTCCAGTACAGTCTACAAAAGCTGATCCGAACAATTTTTATTGACCTTGGGTGAAATATACTCTGCTAAGAACAGACTTGATATATAAAACATCACCCGCGTCTTCCCTTCAATGTATCCCTGCTACAAATTGGCAGGCTCCAAACACACCGTGGGCTGCGATGGACAGTGACCATTTGTGAGCCAGCAGCATCCTTCGGGTGGATGGCAGCGCAGCTCAGGCTGCTGCTCAAGCCTCAACTGCTCGAGTACAAACAAGACACTCTCACAGTTGAAAGTTATTAGATCCTGAGGAACTTGTTTGCAGATGTAGCTTTAAGATTTTCCATGGCTTATATTTCTTAAGAGCCCCGACAAAATGCAAGATATCCCTAACTCACTGTGGAATACTAAGGGAACAGTACTGTCTTCCTATGGTTGTTTCACAGCTGTTCAGCACGTTCTCCACCTTCCTTAACTCCTAGGTGGAGGCCACAAGTTACCCACGACTTATTTTTGTACATTAAAAGATTTAAAAGCAAAAGCACAACGAAGCAATGTTAATTTATACAGGCTGAGGAGACAAATCTGCATTACTCTTATTTCTTTCATTTTGATCTTATTCCATATTTTACAAACCCCTGACTTTATTCTACTTAAATAAAAACACTTAAACATGTCAGTTTAAGTTACTGACATGCAGATAATCCCCCTATGAAGAAAGCTTACAAGAATCTACTAAAAAGGGTCTTATTATGAGGCCCCAGAAAAAAGCTTTGCCAGTGTTCATAAACTTAATAATGGGAACCTCAGCAACTAGTAGAGAAAAAAAATCTGATTCTAGATTAGAATATTGCAGATGAAAAGGAACATTAAGTTAAAATGAAGAAAAAGAAAAGGCAGTTAACAATGCAAAATGATATTCTTAATATTTTACCCTTTATGTATAAAATTCTATTGAAATAAATAGTCAAGGTTTCTTATACAGGCACAGTCTGCTGTACCAAGTTTCGGATGGGAGTCAATAGATGGGTCTCACATGATGCTTCTGTTATCAGTAACAGGACGATGGCCTTYTCCTGCCATGTGCCATTTTGTCAGCTACAATTTCTTACCCAGGAAGTTGGGCTCCCCTGATGCACCATTGAACCATTTTTGCTGCAGTTTCCAGACATGAGACATGTGAGAAGGACATTCCTCGAGTTATATATCTTAAGAGCTTTTGCTGAAATGACTCAACTCTGTCATTTATCACTTTGTTAACATACCAAATCTYAGGCATGCACAGAAATGGAGGCACTAGGGTGCTTTGGCTCATAAGATGACCTATTCCTTTAAAAGTCTGCTGCTACTACAATTCTCTACTTATGATATCAAGATCAAAATCTTATAGTGGACAGGGTGCTGTCACTCACAACACTTAATTCTTATGTTCCTTAGGTTTCCAAGATCAAAGCCCAGAAAATCCCCAGAGATTCTAGTAGTCAATAAACCTAAAGCTCAGGCTTACAGACAGGTGGGATATTAAAGTTAATAAGGACYGTTTTAAAAAAGCCTAAGGAAAACATTCAGTCTTCTGGCAAGCCCTCAAGTGCAGGAAGCCTTTAAGTCCACTAAAAGCCAAGTTCTTTACCTCTCATGTAAATGTCTCCCCACAGTCATCAACACAGGTAACATTCAAGGAGCCTGTTGTCCAGCTTCCTGGTTCAGAAACCCTTAACAGTTAGAGTGTACCAACAAATCATCTTCAGGAAAAGAGAGGGGGGAAAAAAAAAAGAGAGAGAGAGAGAGAGAGCGCGCGCACGTGCAAAAATGTATTATATGGAAGACGTAAGAGAGTGTTACGAGTAAAGGGCTAGAGTGTATACCTACTACCAACACACAACAGGGAAACATTCTTCAGAATGTTGCAACAGTCAAATTCCAAGATGGAAAACCTTCCATTTTCTGAAAGGGCACTGATACATGTACTCTGAATGCTTGTAGTAAAGCATTTTAGGAAAGAGATATAAACTGCAAGTTTCAAACTACTTTTCTAAAAGAAAAAATTAGATGGTAGAAACAATCCRGTAGATCACTTCAAGTGAAACAGTGATGTAAGTGAACAACATTAAACTTTAACAGAAGTGGAGGGAGGAGAAAGAAAAAAAAAATAAACAAAAAAACCACACTACTTTCAAACTGTAGTTACTCCATCTCTGAAAAGTCCCAAGAAAGGGATAAATAAAGGATGAGATGGAGAATAAATTAATAAAATGGTTTTGGAGCAGTTGGATCCAGAAAAAAAAAATAGCTTTGCAACAGGTCAGTGCAAGGGGAGTTTTAGGAAAAACACACCTATTGCTGCAGTGGATGGGAAGCTAGAGAAGTGAATAAATAATAAACTTGACATGTCAGTGGTCCAATCATTTTGCCATTAAACAGCTTGGAAAAATGAGCCCAGTTAACTGAACCTCTCTCTCTCTCTCTCTCTCTCTCTGCTAGAGGAGAGCGATGTCAAAAATTAGAAAATCATTATTGAATGAAAAGACATAATACTCATTGGTCTGTTAAAGTAGCACATGTAAAACCCAAACCACATGAGTGGGGGAAAAAAAAGAGAAAGTTACCATTCTGAGTTTTCTAATGTAATGAGCATTTTAATTGTGATGGCTACTGAAGAAATTACATTTCAAAAATGAAGATTGCTATGAAACTGTCTACTTCAACAAAAAGAGCAGAGTTTTTAAATGAAGATAATCATTAGCCTAAGAAATTCTGTAAGTACAAGGAAAACATGTTCCAGTGATTGTATGTTGAGATGGGAACACGCTTTAATTAACCTCTTCTTTAACTTTTTAATATCACTTCCATATTTGCCTGTGAATATAAAAACAAATATGAATATTTTGAAGTTAGAAGTGTTATAAAAAGGTAACTCTTGGAAAAGAGGGAATTCAAGAGGTAAACACATTTCATCACAAAATATCATCCCTCTGCACTGCTCTGATGACACTGGAAAGCTCTACAAGCTTACTGAAAGTTTAATTCTTATTTTACTCTATGTGGGATATGTCTTGGTATCATTTCCACTTAGTCCTCTAAGATTTCCAAGCTTCCCTTCCCCAAGTCTTTCACTGTAGAGTGTACAGCACTCATTTCTCTTGAAATGTGAATAATGCACATCTGTAAAACAACAGGCTGGGCTTCGGATTATGGCATTGACAATGGCTCCCTCTCCTGATAAGGCACTGAACTCACACTCACCACAAGACTCATATGAGACTTGGTAGCTTGTTCATCARTCATCACAAAAGCTTCAGCAAAGAGTCAGGGCTTGTCTGCAAGGCCATGCCCTACTTGTTGAGATCTACACATTTCTCCCAGCTATTAAAAACAGCTTTCATTTGGACCTAGAAGGTAGGAAGAAAAATATGAATGTCCATGTAAACCTAGGATTTTAGAAGTGTTATTAGAACAGTCCTAAATCTTTTGTGTATAGGAAGGGAGGCAGCCTGCACCAGGTAAATTTACTATCTGCGGTTCAGCAGCTTGTCAGACAAAAYCTGCGAGACCTGGAGCCAAGCTGGAACCCGAGCTACTTCACTGAAATTTCTTGTGGCTGCAGAGTTTCAGTCCATGAAGTACACAGGCATTTTGGCCCTAAAAGACTACATGCTGAACCAGGAGGTACAAATGGAAACAGCAAGATACCAAAATAATTGGGAGCTGTTGGGGTTTTGGCTTTGTTGAATTCAACGTGCACATCAGTCTCAACAGGCTCAGTGGACAGCATGGAAGTCAAAGTTGTTTTCAAGCAATTTGTGACAGCCCTATTGAACACTATATGCTTGTATTAAAGTTTTATTTCAAAACTTCATTAAAACTTGATTTTTGTGTGCACATAAGAACTTCTTAAACTTTCAACGGCTTCTTTTCACAATATCTTCCTAACAAAATATAAAGCTAAGTTACACTGAAAAGTTACAGATTTCTCTGGCATTCTAGAGAAAACTATGAAGTGTAGATTTATGTCAACTATTACTTTATCTGAATCTCCTAGAATAATAGCATCAAAGGTAGGAAAGCAGATAATCCTGCATCTCAAGTTATTTGTATGTTTTTTATGACAATTTAATGGCCTAAAGAAGCAGATGAATCAAAATGCCCTCTTTATACTCACYCATCAATGGCCTTTATGATTAAAATACCCGAAAACTCACATCTGCAGATGTCACTTCATCCTGATGGTATTAAGTGTAAAATAAGTTTCCAAAATATCTCTTTAAATTTACAGAACTAGAGTTGTAAATAAGATATGATATCACTCATAAGAGTGATGACAGTTATAACAGAACAGTTATAACAGGAATAAGGTGTTTAAGTGAAGAAATACCTGTAGCAAATCAGTATGTCTATTCCATAATTACGCAAATAGTTTAATTTGTGGCTAACATATATAATTACACCAAAAATTAGATTTTACTCATCATTTTGCATCAGAAGAAGCCCATGAGGATATTTAAAAAGCTGCCTTTCCACTCTAGCCTGAAACCCACTTCACTACWGCAGATGAGCTGGGAGTTAGAAGTTGGCAGGTCCTTCAAGGTCCAGCCCTGCCAGAAGTGGCTTGGCTGTAGGTCTGTGAGATCCATAGGGAGCACTGCTAGGGTGCAAGTTGCAGCTGCAGGAAGCAGATGCAGCATCTCCCACATGTGCCCCAGTACAGGGGACTCACTCTGCTGGCCACGTCCAGCTCCCTTCCGTCTTTGCCACACCAAGGATAGCAGATCTGTCAATTCTAACTCCCTGAAGAGCCAGTAAGGCATCATTTACCACTGGAGCAAAAGTAAATTCACTTCCTTCATTTTGTCTCCAGCAGGTCGAGAGAGGTGATCATCCCCCTCTACWCAGCCCTGGTGAGGCCACATCTGGAGACCGTGTCCAGTTCTGGGCTCCCCAGTACAAGAGGGATGTGGAGCTGCTGGAGAGAGTCCAGCGCAGGGCTACSAGGATGATCAGGGGCCTGGAACATCTGCCCTATGAGCAAAGGCTGAGRGAGCTGGGYCTGTTCAGCCTGGAGAAGAGGAGGCTGAGGGGGGACCTGATCAGCGTGTATAAAYACCTCAAGGGAGGCAGTGAGGAGGAGGGGGCGGCCTCTTTTCAGTGGTGGCCAGCGACAGGACTAGAGGAAACGGCCACAAACTGAAGCGCCCAAAGTTCAACAGACCAAACTCCAACAGCTGAAGTGTGTGTATGTATGTATACATATATATGCATACATATATAAATATATACACTTTGGATAATACCAGAAAAATCTAAAATCTTAGCRCCACAGCTAAGGAATGAAGAAACATGCCAAACCTAGATATATTTCTGGTATATCATATATCCAGAACTGTGGAAACAGCATCTCCTTTTTTTAAAAAACATACTAATCATGGTTACCTAAAGATACTCTGGCATTCAGCAGCAGAGCGGATGAGCCAGTTGCCCAGGTTAACACCAGGGACGCTCATCTCCGAGTCTTCATGTCTTGGAAGCCGATTTCCCTTCTTCGGATCCTCCCAGCACACACTCCRTGCCCCACTTCTGTCCTTCCCATATTCCTCCTCAATCAGTGGTGAATGATCAGCCCTTCTCTATTTAATGCCTATAAAGACAGTGCAATCTACATTATTTCTTTCAAATAAAGTTATTTGGTTAAAAACACAATTGAAGGAAGAATTTATATTATTTAATGATAATATAAAGGTCAAGTTGAGTCTAATATATGTCTTAATAATATTCCATTAGCTTAACCACCTCCCTCAGCTCTCCAACAACACGCTGTTATTACAACAAACTTGGCCACAGTAATTTAGSCAAAACACAATATTCTATTTCAGTATTTTCAGCAGCTCCACTGTTTGGTTTTTCAATTCCGTGAATGTTACTTCTAATCTACAAACAACATCCTAGTATGTCCTGAGCAGTATTCCAGGCCTTTGGCATCAAGTATAACAAGTGCTGATTTAAAAGCACAACTGGTTTGCAAGATAGAGGTTATTCTGTTGCCAAATATTAAGTTTCTGTGTACTCTAGACCTTTCATAGCTGATAGCAGTGGAATGAAATTTGCTGAGTTTTCAAGTTATCAATATTTCATACAAATACACAATGCAGGATCTTTTGACTTTTAATCTGCATTAGTTGCACGTGAAAATACGAAATATTATGGACAACAAAGCTGAAGATATGCAGGCACAATTAAAGACACCACAACCATTCAAACATTCAGTAAGAGGAAAAGTCAAGTTTTAGCTAGATATAACCCTCTAGAAAAAGTACCTGACACTAGCAACTTTTAATAGAAAGTGCCCTAAACACAAGGCAGCACAGCTGCAAATATACCTAAGGAAAAAAAAGAGAATTCAGCTCTAAGCCCCTTCAACAGCTGCTTCTGTAACAGCAATATAGCACTGTAACAAAATTCTGTTTGATTTAGCAAGAACTGGTGTGTGCTTTGCTGACTCACCAACATTGATGGCTCCTTTCTTTGCAGAGATAACAAAGAAGGATGTCAGGATGTAAGGTGCAAGCTGAGTGTTCCTCAAGCRTTAACCAGAGCAGCACTGAAAGTTTGTTACCCTCTGTAATACTTCCTTCTTAATATACTTGTTAATAAAGCCAACCCCCTCCGAACCACTCCCTCTGAAGGCAGTAAATATACCACTTCAGATTGAACTGCTTGTGGTTCAGTCATAATAAGGGTACACATCATTGCTTTCTCAGAGTTCATAAATATGTATTTATTAGAAATAACTCAATAGAGCACAAGTTAAGAATGTTAAAACAATCTGATTCAGCAAATAAGAGCCTAGAACATCCACTGCAAACTTTGGTACTGACCTGACTGTGAACTCTCACTTCTTACTGAGCATCTGATTTGGATTTTTCCTGTTTGAGGTGAGTCTTGAGCCTGTGGCATGGGGTTAACACTASAGAAGACCTGCCAAGGAGTATACATCATAGGCCCACGCCATGAAGGTACAGACTTACCAAATTCCTATTGCAGCGAGGTGTGCACTTGCTCAGCAAACACACAGTTGCTTCCTAGACAGGAGCTCCTCAAGGTCAGCACAACTGACATAAGAAAATGATTACAGCAGATTCAAGAAGCCCTTAGGAAGAACAAGTCAAGTCCTGCCTGTGTCAACTCTGAACTAGACATTCAACCTATACCTCCAGCAGCCTCCTGCTGATGACCCCATCTTCACGAGCACCCCAAGTGGTCTGAGATGAAAATCCTTTACTACCCTTATCCTGTTTAATCCCTTACAAACCTGGAGTGTCCCTCTCCACTTGTACCCAATCTCTCTTCTGCTTGCCTTGCAGTCACAACACCCAAGCAGATTGGAGCAAATTAACTTAATTAAAACACCCTACCCAGCACAGCACCTCAGATCCTTTGCTGAAGGAGCAGCTTGATTCAGGCCTCAGCTTTTGGAATTTATTGACCCAGGTTAATTTATAGCAGTTGCTGGTGTAGTTTAGGAGCCAGCTGTTCAATATTTAGATAATTGAATGACCTGCCAAGAAATAGAATTTTCTGTTTTAAGCAGCAAACGGTAGTAAAACAGTATGAGTTGTCTTTTTTTTTTTTTTTTAATGTCTTTAATGATGGTGTCTCAAAAACCATTTTAATAGATTTTTCCTCTGTTCTATTCCCTCAAGTTTTAGAGCTCTTTTTTTAAGTGTATAGCCTGTTTCTTTTACCTTTTCTTAAATGATAAAAATGGAGATGTTTATAGGAAAAAAAAAATTGTATTCATAATATGTTACTATCAAGAAGAGGGCAGTTGTTAGCTTAAAGCAAAGAAGTTACATTTGCACTATCCCGTCTTTCTCCAGAAAGGCARTGTGGTTTAATTTTTTCTAAGCAGTAGTTGTAAAAATTGAAAAAAATTAGAAATATAATTAAAGCAAATGGTGTAAGTTGTGCCACATTAGCAACTAACTTTAGTTATTTGTTTGAACAAAGCTGATATCTATTAAGCTTGGCTTGTGTAGTTGCCCCATTTTATCAGGAATAGGAACAATAACTGAATTGAAACTGTACACGTTACATGTTCCTAAGTCACTTTTAGACCTTTGCACTTTATTTAGCTGAGTCAGATAGTTTTATGAGATCGGGTTATTTCTGCCACTTATAAAGCTGGATTTAAAGCAGAGAATTTTAAAAGCTGGAATATTGCTTTTGCTATTTCTCTCGTGCTTCGGTTGGGCTGAGTTTATTATCTACAGGGTCAAGCCCACAACTCGGTTCCAGCGCTGGTCAAGAACAGCTACGACAGCAGCCTCGGTGTACGAGGAAGTGCATCTACCGAAACTCTCCTAAGAATGCTATATTAAATACAGTGGCATCGTGATGGATATTCCTGCTTCATCACAAGCATTTTTCCACTGACAGCAACAGGCATCTTGGTATGTAGAATGTAGGTTTGCTTTATATTTTCTACCTATCCAATATTCATTTTTTTCTTAAATTTTTTCCATTCCTTTAAAAAGTTTAAAACATACACCAATTTTTAATGTCAGTAAGCAACCTAGAATACTGAAAAATGTGTATAATATTTTTAAATGATACTTCAAATAATTGATTTAATGCTATTCAAATCACATTAAGTTCTTGTTCTAAATTAAGTTCTGTCTTTGCCTAACCTCTAAAGCTAAAAGCTCTTGTTGGACAAATTATAGGTTTTTCTTTTATTGTATCTTATGGGCTTATTTCTTCTTTCCTAAGGCTTTCTTCTGATTCTACAGACCAAACATTATCTGAGCTTCAAATATGTCTCAGGCTTATTTTTATTTATCACCTAAATGAAAAGGGTTAGTAATTTTTTTTAAAAAATGGAAAYACTAAAGAATCAAACAAGTAATGTAATAATACTCAATCAAAAGAAATCTAAACATATGGAAGTGTTTTACTGAAATTTCAGCACTCACTTCAAGTTTGTTCGGTAGTTTTGCTTTTTAAGTACTCAAAAGTGGAAATGTTTGATGATTTTTCAGCCACAATGCAGAAACATCTGAGAGCTAACTATCTATGCTCTTTCACCTCATTGTGCATTTCCAGCCAAAATTTGTGCCTATTTTATTTTTGAGGCCATAGTCACAATGTACCGTTTATGACTTCTCGTGTCTTCCTCGTCAGTGACTGTTCTATCTCAGGACCAGGAGATGGCTCTGCTTTGTATCCATTCTTAAAGATATATCGACCAGGTAACCAAAGACTGAACAATGAAGAGAAAAAAAAAATATCGTGTGTTTACACAATGAAATAGATTTTATTTCATCAACTTCAAATGGGGTGCAGGAGCTATCAAAAACTATCAATCATGAGTAAAATCTCTGCATTTTTCTTATATTGGTAACTGTTCACATTAATTATATCCAATATTYCTTATGCCTACTATTTAAGGCTTTATGATGGATATTTAGCTACTAAAATGAAAACGTGTAAGTCAAGATATCTTTTAAATAAATGACTACACTATAGATGATACTTAAAATACATATGTAAAACAAATAACTCTACAAAAATATATCAACTTTGCCTCATGACTTTCCTTAAAGTACTGCAAATTATTTTATGAGAAGTGCTTATCACTTGTAGAGTATTTTCAGAAATTAGGACTTGATGAGCTCTTCCTTAATTGCACATAATTCTAATTTCATCAGCACGAAGAGCACAAAAGATTCATCAACTTCATTGACATATGGGATAATGGAAGAATTTGGCTCTGTATACGAGAGAAGTTCGTAGTTTTGAGCTCACCTCTAAATTCAGGCAGATATATAGATATTACCTGTTGCACAGAAAAAGCACGCCTGTATTCAGTCAGCAATAGATTCTATGAGAGACACAGACATAGAGGCTTACATATGCCACTGGAATACGTAATTCCTAGAAGCACTGAATGAAATGCAGTAACTAATACATTATACAGTTCTCAATAGTTATCAATATAGATGAGAATTTTAGAAGTTTTTCCTTTGGATTTACTGAGGTTTTTTTTCTTAGAATAGCAAGTCCTGTTTCTGTTAATATGGCACTAGTGCCTGCAGTGAGCACGTCACACAAACTCCAAACGGGGCTGCCCAAGTGGCGTGGCTGCCGGTGGCACGGACGGTGGCCGCAGCCTGCAGGCAGGTACAGAGACCAGCCCTCGTGGCGCTGGGCGCTCTCCTTGCTCCCTCCTCTCCCGTCCTGTGTGCGCTGCTCCACCTGCCCCGAGGAAGGCAGGAGGGCACCACATCGTGGCAAATCTTCCCACTGATACCCAATCACTTCATAAAGCTGTGATGAGTTTGAAATACTAGGAAGAAATTCCAATGGAATACACACAGAACACAGACTGCTGGCAGCCACTAAGTGCAGGCTTCTCTTTATTAACTACACACTGTTTTGATGTTTTTATATGCTCCTGATTTTTTACAACTTACTTATACAAATATATTGAAATTCTTGTGTTTGAGATTTCAGGAGACTGCAACTGCACTGCCRTTGTGCTGCAGAGCAGCTGAACACTTCAAGTTTCCTTTGGCTTTATAATCACTGGGCTAACTACGGAGCAGGGCTTGGCTTGTAACTTGGCCATAATGCTGGGGTCAAGCATTTCATACATATTAAAATTTTTCCTACACACAATGTGCTATTTTTATATACTAGAAGGTTTACCTTCAAGAAAATCTAAGCTTTCCTGTAGAACTTTTTGTTTGAAAAAGTATTTATTTACTACCCTGAAAGATCAAAAATGTGTTCCTCTACTTGAATATGCTGGTTGTAATTATAAATAAAAATAAATATAGAAAACAGATTAATTCAGACACTGAGTTAAGTGCAGTTTCACTTTAGTAAGTGCTCTCAAATAGCACAGGCAAGTTGTAAACGTTCCCTAGAGCAACTCCACATACAGTGTATTATCTAAAAAGGCTTGAATTAGCATTCCAGTATAAGCCAACAGCATTGTTTCTTTAACTGCTAGAGTTACTTAACCAGTTTGACCAGGATCTAGTATCCTTCTGCTTGAAGACTTAACTATTCTCTTCAGAAAAATCCCTTTGGACAGCAAGCAGAGTAAACGTTGACGCTTTTTTCCAGGTGAAGCGCCAACAGTTCATGGAGCTGCCCTTCACAAATCTTGAAGTAGCTTTCATCTTGCTGGCTTTTGTCATCTTCTCTCTGTTTACCCTGGCTTCTATCTACACTGACCCCCAAGACAACAATGCAGGTAAATAAAACAATCTAAAATAAATATAATGCTTTAAAGTTTTATTAATATTCTAATTTTAGCTTTGGTRATCGATCTTGCAGGTAGACATACAGTACATAACATCTTAGCTTTATAACACCATACAGAGAGCAGAGAACAATCAGTTAAGGTCTCAGGAAAAGTCACAAACACAGAAATGTCATTAAGGTATCTGAACAAGAATGTTTACAGCCAGGTCTCCTGACTAAGAGTTAGCCAAACCCAGAAGTTGAGGTTACACTTATAACTAATTCAAAATGAATTAGAGGGTTGTTCTTTGTACAGGAATTGTTTTCTTAACAATAGCTTGTGTTCCTCTCCTTCATGTGCTAAGGACTTACAGAATGTTTAGGCTGACATAACTGAGGTTGTTCTTGTAATTAAGGTAAGTGTCTATTTCTATTAGGCAGAGACCAAGTGTTTGCTCACTTCTGAGAGTGTAAAAATGACATTAAAATCACAGAGGAGGGGTTGTCCCATTCAAAAGGATTCTAAGGCTGCAGGAGAGAAAAATACTGAATCCTCTATTAGGTCTACGAAAGAAATTTAGCACAACCTTACACCATCAGTGGAAAATTCCTTGCTACAGAGGTAGTGCTGTCATGGGGGCAGCTAATCCCCAGTTGGCAGGAGCCTCACTGGGTAGCTGGAGAGGCGCTGAGATGCAGCRAGCTCTGCCAATGCCCCCCAGCACAAAGTGCCTTCCTGCTTCCACCCCACGCATGGCTGGGACCACTGTCCCTCTGCAAAGCTTCTTCAAATGGAAGAAAGAAGGGAGGGAGCGAGGAAGGAAACGCCTGAAATAATCTTCTGAGTCATGCAGCAATATAACTGTTGGTTTCTATCATATCTGATAACTAATGATTAATTTAATTTTGTCGAAAAATCTACTGTATGGATATGTTGCTCAGCAACACTAATAGAGTGTTCTTAGCATACGTGTTGTCTCATAGAACTTCTGGCTGCCTAAAAATTTGTGAAACAACRGTAATCAGCGTGAAAGGGAAGTCAGTGTCACAGTGTTTGCAGCTTGCATTCTGATTAGATTTCTTTCTTACTTTTCTACTCCTCTGGATTTTACACAATTTCTGCACAGAGGGGAAAGTGTTAGAAATCAAAATATTTCTGTGGAGAAAACATAGTTGCCATGAGAACTG